TATATATTATATATAATATAGCATGGAAACTGTAAAGAAAAAGAAACTAGCCTTCAAAACCTGAAAAGCTGCCTTGGGAAAACATCTTCTTGTTCTCCACTCTTCAACATCTGCATCACATTCCAAAAGCTTGTGGTGGAGATAAGAGGTGCTAAAAACAGATCATTATGCCTGCCTGGTAAGAATTTAGCCAGGGTCATCCATTTCCTCTTACCACAGTTCATATTTATCAGTGTGTTAATTAATCAGATGGTTTTCTTCAAGCATTCTTTCTAACACGCAAGAAAAATTCCCATAGAGATAGTACCGTCTTTGTTTTCTGATTTCTGCAAAGGGAACCGATTACCAGAGGATACCAGAATGGCAGTCAATAAAGCAATATGTCCAGTTAAATACTGCAGCTATTTGGCTTCCTAAAGTACACACTCCAGAAAGGCTTTCTGTAGAAAGAGCGGCTCCTAGAAAATAATCTTGCATCAGAAGTAGGGTTTGACTAGCGTAAAGGTTCCCAGGCAAACAGCTGTTCCCATGCATTATATATTGACACCATCTCAGATTTCTTCTAGAAGCTATCCTGTCTTCTTTTTCTCCTCACATCTCTGTTGATTAATCAAGAGACTTGAGGCCGACCTCAATCATGAACAGCTTGTTTAACACACATAAAAGAAGGTAAGTATGCAAGATGGGGGAAAAGAGAGAAAACAAACCTTGAAGAAGTCCAGCTTTCCATTCTGGTCTACCAGCATTAGGCAGACATCAGACCTTATGGAAGAAGCCTTCCTTCTTAAGCTACCAGCATTACTGTATTTGATTGCAACTTTCTCCTCTGCTTCCTCCATCGCTAGGCCGTTCCTCTTTTGCCTGTTCTCCCCAGATGAATCCCACTCCCCAAAAGCTAAGGTACAGAAGCAAAACACCCCTATCTTTACAGTTTACAAGCCCTTTGAGTATTGCCTCCATTCTGGAGACTGGGGTGGTGTTACTACAGGAACAAGGTATTAAGGTAAGGCATTCCTTAGTTCACTGTCTTCCTTCTTCATAAATGTGCCTTAAAAAAGAAGAAGTGTTTCCTTTGTGAATTCACTGGACTTTTTTAATTATGAACTCAAAAGTTGTATTAGAAAGTGGGATATGCTAGAGTACTTTCTCAATATCCTTTAGTATTTTCATAATTGCTTGAAACATTTCTTTAATAGAAAATATTTTATAATAAGCAGTTATTTACAAGGTCTTTAAAATGGTGACTGGGTGCTCTTAGCAAGACTTCTGATTATGATTGGTGCTTTTTTTAAAAAAAAATTCTACAAGAAACATGAAAAGTTTATCAATTGAGAAATTTGCCTTTTGTCAAGATTTGCTGACACACAAGCAGCAGTAGTACACTGCAAGAAATTCAAGTTTACTCTAGATAACAGCCAAGCATAACCAAACCCAGGGTCTTCACTGAACCAAGAATCCAGAACTCAGCAACTGTATTTAAATAATACCATGAATAACACACAAAGAACAAAAATAGCATTATTACAAAAATAGATAATCCTGTTGGGAGCATTCAGCAGCTGCATTCTTTAGATTCAATCAGTTAAAAAATTTAAGTCTTGGTCATTGAGGGAACTCTGGATTTTGCTTTTCAGCAACAGACGCCTGACCGGCAGAGGGCACCGGGAGGAATGGAAGGAAGCCAGTGCCAGCAAAAGCCTTCTACTGCCTGAACAAAGGTCCTCTTGTGTCCAGGGAGCAGAACTGCAAAGACTACTTTCCTTCAGAGTGAAAGATCAACCCACTACGTGTACAAAAGGAACGATGATCACTTGGTTTAATTTCTACACCTGATTCCTGTGCAACACCATAGAAGTATTACTAGAAAAAAAACACCTACACATTAAGACTTAGAGGAACACGTACAGAGTATTACTTGCCTGCATATTGTGAGGGACAAATAAGGTTTTTTATTTATTTATTCAAAAGGTTTAGAAAAGCAATCTTCTTCCCCCTTCCATGCTCTATGCACTGTACATCCAGGTTGGACACCACTGAAGAGATGTCCACTCCCGCTCAGGTCTGGAAAGGAAGAGCAAGGCTTTTCTGAGGCACTACTGAGCTGTACTTGCAGAGCTGAATCAGCTAATTAGTCTTCAAAGAACAGTCCAGCTAAACTAAAACTACAGTTTTGAGTTTATACTCTTAAACAGAGCATTCACACACTTCCAAAGCATAGGTGGTCCTAATACTGTTCTACTGTACATGTGGAAGTCTCCAAGTCTCTGAAAAATTCAGGCCAACCACCTTCTCCCTCTCATTCCATTTTCAATCTTATTGACTGTGGAACATACAGTAGAAGTCATTAAGCTACATTTCACAGTTTATGGTTTTAATGGTTTTGCAACATTAGATGCACAACACATTTTCAAGCATCAAAAACTAGGCTTTGCTATCTAACATTTCATAAAGATAATAAAAGTTAATGAGCACTCATGATCTATGATCTGACAAGACATCTGTTCTGTTCTTTCCGAGATAAAACACTCACAGTGGGAGAGAACAAATATAAACCAATTAATCATTCTAAACTATAAGCTATATTAAGTTATAGTTTCTCAACAGGCTTTTCATACCCCATTGGTAATAGGGCACAGGTGTCCCTAAAAACAGTCTTTCAATGCAATAATTAAATCCTGCTACCTTCACATGGTCAACTGCAGCAGACAGTACCATTTAGCATTTCAGCAGG